AGGGCATACAAGAAAAAAAAAAAAAAACAAACAAACAAACAAGAATAAAATCAAAGGAACTTGTTCACAGTTGGAATGTTTATGAGAGAGAAATGTTGCCCCCGAAAGATTCGAAAAACCAACCATTATTTGGAACGACAAAAGGGTTTTCAGATTAAGAAAAAAAAAAAAAAGCTACACAACTCACTACAGAACCGTCGCCGGTGTGGTAAGCGGAAGAATGGAGTTACTCCGGTGATACTTTCTTCTTTTTTTTTGTTCTTATAGGTTAAGTCCTCAAAACATTTCCAAAGTGACGTATAAGTCCTTTTAGTTTTAAAAGAGCAAATAAGCCACTCTACTCACGAGTCCAACATAAGGCCCAACAAAGACGAGACCCGGATTCATCCCCCTGATCTCATTCCGGCCAGCGAAGCTTCGGCAAAATCCAAGACGTACCTTGTCTCACTTCTCAGCCACCGTCGTTTCTCCTTCTCCACCTCCATCGCCGGCTGACGGCTGTTATTGGCGAAACCAGGTGCCACCGAAACTCTATCTGCGACCAGCCGTTGACTAATTTTTCTGCGAAGGTATAATTTTCTCCTTCTGTTTTGTGGCAAATTCGATGCCCGAAGTATGATATTGATTTGTCCTTTTACTTACGGTGCTAGGTTCGAGCTCCTGCTGAACCTGCTCGAGCACTGCTTAATTATAGTATCTTTTTTATTAGCTTGATCTCGAATTTGATCAGCATTAATTTTGATTTTCAAGTAATAATTTTTAGATTTTTTATGTCGCCTCAAGTTGATTACATTTGATATAGGCTTGATCTTGAACTGGCTTAACTCGATTATTACTAATTTAATTTTAAGATAATTATTTTGAAAAAGATTTTTGAAGTTCCATTGCTAATGGAGTCAGATCAGTTTGAGTTTGGTTTGATTGAATACCAGAGTTTGTTAAACTCGACTTGATTTTGCTGCATTTGAGTTCGAGTCCGATTGAAGCTCAACTTGATTGTGCTGGAAGCATAACATTTCTTTCATGTTTGTCTTCGATTTTGTTGATTTCAGCTCATGGAAGTGATTTCCATAGATGCTGTTTGGTTTTAGTTTTGTCAGATTCTTTCAACTTATGATATTCCGTACCGTTTTGTTTTGCAACTACTTGTTCTTATGTTATCTTTTATTACATTGTAGATTGGCAACTTGCTAGCTGTTACCTATTTAAGCTAATTATCCGAGTGACTTCAGATACGAAGATGCCTTACGAAATAACTGAGCAAACGAGTAAGAATCCTTTGCTTGCTTGTGAGTTGAGGTCTGATTTTTCTAGGATCTTCCAAATATTGGCCTTCTTGGCCAGGTGTCCTCAATATGGCTTGTTAAAATACAATGTTATGGACTTCCCTAACACCTACCACCTGCCTACTAAAGTTGTTTAGATTGGAATAATGCTATAGAAAAAAATTTTATATATGAATTTCAAATGAACTAGTTTTGAAAGGTCATTGGAGTGAGGTAAATTGGGCAATCTTACATTCATCATTCTAGAAAATAGGCTTGACCATGAATATAATCTTCTGATTTCAAAAATCTAAGCTGGTATGCCCGTCAACATTTCTCTTTCTTTCATTCTTTTGGTCTTTATTTGTTTATTTATTTATTTTCAAAGGTTTGTTTTGTCAAGACGTAGGTAACCTTGACAAAATTAACATTCTATTGATATTTGCTTTTAACGTGTTTTATATTTCTCTTTGGCTTTTAATTAAAATCTTTTTGGTTGTAACCTTGGAAATTTGTCTTTAATATGCAGAGGTTGGTGCGGGTCTTATTGGTTTCGGTATCTTATTCTCATTTCTTGGCATAATTCTTTTCTTTGACCGGGGTTTGCTTGCTCTGGGGAATGTAAGGCTTTCCTTTGATCCTTTTATTTTCTAACATGCCTAAAAAATCAACAATGTTCTAACATTCTTTACTCAGATATTTTGCTTAACAGGGGTAGCAATTTTGCTTGGTTGGTATTCTACTTTGCAGCTGTTTACCAGTAGAAGAAACTACAAGGTATTGAATCAGAAAATCTTATGCTAATCCATTTGAACTGAAACGGCTTTTCTTCTCATATTTAATATTTATTCGTTGAGAGAATTTTCACAAATGATCTTTGTGCTCTCAGTCATCAGGAAGGACCCTGATTAAATTTGATTCTTACCTACGAAAGTTGTGTTGGTTAGGTGATTCAAATGGGGGTAATATGCTGATTGCATTATGCATAGAGAAGTTTGTATATATATGAATTTTGAATGGACTTATTCTGGGAGGTTGTTACAGTGAGGAAATTGAGCAATCTTAATGTGACCAACTAGTATTTCACTGCATCATGGTAGCATATAGGCTGGACCACATGTTTAATCAACTGTTTTCAAAAATCTATCCTGCTTCCTTGGTCATGACCAAGCATGAATGTTTCTCATAGTCTTTTGGAACTATTTTTAGAGGTAAATTTTGATTTGGCTTTTGATTCCTTAACAGTCATAAATTTATGCATATATGGTGAGGACTGAAATCATTTGATCTCCTTTTTCCTCCCAACTGCAGGGTACTGCTTCTTTTATTCTTGGACTTTTCTTCATATTTGTTCGTTGGCCAATAGTTGGCATAATCTTGGAATTATATGGGTGCTTTGTTCTCTTTGGGTTAGTGTCCTATAGCATCTTAAACTCTGAATTGGATAATCTGCTGTGCTGCTTTAATAGATCTGTTGCATTGGTTTGTTGTTTTAGTGGCTTTTGGTCATCTGTCAAGGTTTTCCTCTATCATATTCCTGTTATTGGATGGGTTATCATGGTAAGTTTCTTTGCTCCACTAAAACCATAGCTTTGGGTTTAGAGGTCTCCTTTCCTGCTTTTATAGATCTTTTGCTCCACTTTTTTCATAGAGAGGTTGGATGTAACTGCTTTTGGTACTTTCCTAGTTAGTTATGTTTGCTATTTGTTCATGGCTGCAGCTCTTAGATCGCATGTTAGGAGGCTCTAATTAAACACAAGTTGGTAAGGTAATGTTTAAACATGATTACATTCTAATCTTCTGTTAACTTCAGAAACTTAAAGCTGCTGGTAAACAATATTTTCTCTTAGCAGTTCATCAATTGATCACCAGAAGAGAAAAGCCCTCTGATTTCCGCTCTAGCCATGGCAGCTGATGATGGTAGTAAAATTTTTGACATTTCCTCTGGGATGCTATCAAAGTTTTTAGTTTCTTGCCACATGGATGTTTATAATGTGTCTGTTATCTCAAAACCGAAGCCTTGCTTGTCATATCATGGAACTTAATCTCCGCGGCTCTACAACACTGTTCTACCAGGTCTCTTATTAACCTTTCAGTTTAGTTGTGTAACATTCCTTTCAGATTTTTTTTTTTCCCATGCAAACCTTGCAACACTTTTCTTCTACTGAATCCTTAGTATGAACGAGGAACATCATTTATATCTCAAACAGTTTGGTGTATTGGAGTCTAAATTATAAAATGCCAACTGTTTGACTGAAGGGTTGCACCCATTATCAAGGACCCCTCATCATCCAATGGTTATTATCACTTGGCGAGGCATGTGAAACGATCCACTCGATTGATGGTAAGTGGCCATTGAAAACCTTCTGTCAGATAAAAATGGTAAGGAACAGCTCGCCCCAAAATATAATGGTGAGTGAAACTCAATATTTTATTCCTTCATCATTTTTCCTAAGGTGATGATATGGAGGATAAATATACAGGACGATTTTATGGGACCAATGACATGGTTTGTTGATTGTTTGTTATATGGAATCCTTTTTGAAATAATACTTTGCTAAGATGGCTGCTATCTCATGTTCCTCTATGGGACCAATGACATGGTTTGTTGATTGTTTGTTGTGTGGAATCTTCTTTGAAATAATATTTTGCTAAGATGACTGCTACCTCATGTTTCTCCTTTGATTTCGTCCACTTTATCGTCACAATTATTATTATTCTTTTTCCTGATGCTTCATTGTCACTGCAACTTAAACCAATATATTAAGTGTTAAGAGGGCATTTCCACGTTAAAAGGGTCATGATGTTTTTTAATAATAAGCATATCTGATGTTAGGCCACCTCATTAATTATATCCAACCAAAATACTAAATAACATGTTTTCCCAACAAAACCCATTTCAGTTCCCTCAATTACAAATACAAATTCTTTCGATTTCCCATGATTTGATTACAAAATCTGCATTTTCTTAAAAAAAAAAAAAAAGAATGTCTAGCAAAGTCTGAGGAAATGTGGGGGAACAATGTGAGATTGATATCGGTGTTATTGGGCGCTGCAAATTTATTGGTGGCTGTTTTGGGCGCGGTTTTGTTGTTCGTTGCATATTCATCATCATGCAACGGCCGCCGCCGCCGGCGGATTTTGCCGTTCCTGTTGACGTCCATATTTGCTACTCTAAGAATCCTAACGATTTTCAAAATCGCGAATGGGCAAGAAGCCATCACAAAGTCCATCCTTGATTCTCCGGCCACCACCGATGCTGTTGATATTGTTGTTCGTCGTGACAGACGGGTATTGTTTTTCCTTTTCTTCCATGAACCTCCGATTTTTATTCAAGTATACGATCAAAATAATAATAAATCAATTATTCTTTCTTTTTCCGTGCAACATTATAGACAATTTTGATTTTTAAAATATCTCGGTTAGATGGTAGAAGTTGAAATTTTGACTTAATGACGAAGGTAAAAATATTTAAGTTTATGGAGATATAACAGTTCAGGGGTGAAATTGAGTGCAAAAAAATGTTCAGGTTTAAATTGACAAAAGTACAATCCTTTGAGGGCTTATCATTAAATTTATTTTTCTTGGTATCAAGAATTCAAGATACATTTTCATGAACTTAATAGTCTTCATGCACTTCCAGAACACACTGCTTTACATAGATTTTTTGTTGTTTTTTTTTTTTTTAAAAAAAAAAAAACAAATATTTCATAAAATCTAAAATTGTTTTTAATGTTTCATGGTTAACAGATCAAGTATAAACAATGGCTTTGGTGGACTCGGTTCGCAATTGTAGTTACACTGTTACAATTTGTTGCTGCCACTTACCTTATATTCATGGTGGCTAAATTTGTTTCTCGTGATGAAACTTCAAACCAATGTGTTTTAGGTAAATTGTATTATCTTGCATTGATTCGAATTTAACTAGTTAGAGAGTTTCTGCTGTTATAAATTTGTTTCACAATGTTTGTTATGCAGGACTGGCTCCTAGCAGTGATGGGTGGAAGCAAAAAACAATGGCTTTATTCATGATCCTGACATGTTTTGTAGCACTTGTGCAGTGCTTCACAGGATCTGATGTTTTAACGTGGAGATCTTTTTATAAAAGTCAAGACAATGCATGGAAAGCTCACTATTATGAGGTATTTGATCATGGAATTCGTGAGGCTTTGTGTTGCCTGGGACGATATGAATATTTGTAGGTTCCTCGTATTTAGCTTATAGTGGTATATATCCTCATATTGGTTGTTGGATTCTTCAGTTTATTTTTCTACTTTTTGCAGGAGTGTGTTAGAGGAAGATGAAGTGCATTCTGTAGCACGATTACTAGGTGAACTGGTTACTTACCGCGCGACAGGCACTGGACATTTGGAGCTTTTGACAGGTTCATTTTCGTATTATAGCAATTCTATATGCATTGGTCCTATGGCATTTCAAAATGATTGTTTTGTTCAACCATTTGAGTTAAATGGTCTTTTACATGAGAATACATTTTCCTGTGTGTTGGCTCTGAAAACATGACTGAATATATATCCTGCATAAGGGATGAGTCATTTTCAAAGTAGGTCTTAAAAGAGAAATATGGTTACAAAGGCATGTAGAAAGCAAAAGATACACACGTAGGAAAAAAAAGTTCAAACTCTAAGCAAAAGTTGAGAGCTTTGTCACCACTAACTTTGTGTTTGGGTGTTTGTAGGAAGAGGAGGAGAGGACATAGTGGGGAAGTGGGGTATCCTCTTGTTGACAACTCTTTAGTTTGAAGGAATTGAAAACGTTAGGCGTTTGAAGGAATTGAAAACATTAGGGTTTGGCTAAGTTTGGGAAGATAAGGTACTCTTTCAACCATTCTTTTCTCTCCTATGGAAGAATTTCCAATGAAAAGGGAAGGGTGTATTCTATCTCTTTAGTCTCTCTTCCCCCCCCCCAAAAAAAAAAAAAAGCTTGGTAATAATGAAAGACTTTCTGATAATTTTTACCTTAAGAAAAGGCAGGAATGATCAATATAAACATAGATGTCTTAGTTAATATCCAAGGCTAATTATCTAAAACATTTGCTTACCCAGAATGGTTTCTTAGATAGTTGTGCTTTTAAAAGGTAAAAAACTATATAATTGTTTTAGTATTTCCTGTACCATATAGTTTCACCTATCCTTTAGAGAAGAGTCATCCATCCTTAAAGACCAAGATTACGTTGATGCTATAAACATTGTATAATAGCCTTTAAGACTTTGTTAATGGCTTATAGTGTAATTGCAAGCTTATGAAATCTGAAGTAGTTTTTCCCTTTTCCCAACTTCAATTCTTATTTCTATCCTTTTTGTTTGGCCAATCAAAACATTATTTCTATCCTAATTATTTATTTTACTTTTATTTTTTTGGTACATCAGATGATGGACTATACAATAGGGGATTAGCCCTATCCTTTCCAATTTCCAAACCCCTCCTTGCCCATCTCAAGATTTGACATGTTAGACATCTCTAACATGAAGACTCAAGCACTTAACACTGGGACATCCCCTAGGGGACATTTATTTCACTTTTATGCTACACTTTAAATATGGTCTTAAAATTAAGGAAGAGTCTACACTTAATGGATACAACGTGCCCATAGTACTCCAACATATGATTGATTGGATTGAATTAAATGTTCAAAAATAAACTTATTTTTCAACCTAAATAATAAACTCTTTTTTTAAGATGTTAAAGAGCTGTTAAGAAAGAAAATTATTGCAAACCAAATATTTTTTTGTGTGTGTCTTATTTAAAGAAACTAAATTTTCTGTATCTATGTTAAGCTTTGAAATATTGATTTTGAAATTGTTAGAATTTTATATATCAAATTTCTACATATGATTTGGTTCTGTCTCAGTTTTGTTCTATCATAACATTTAAAACAATTCCTCTTCAGGTCTAGCTTTATTGCAGAAACATAACCAATCTCCCAAATCCTATGAAGGATTCGTAGAGGCCCCTATAAAGCACCTGCAAGCAGCTATTACTCTTCATAAATTTGCTGAAGCAGCCTACACGGTATTGCAAGAAAAAAAGTTTTTATTCAAATATCATTTTCCACAATTCACATGTTAACCACATACTACGTGTTAAATTTTCGTAGGGTCCTTTACTTGATCTTGGAAGAAATCTGTTTTTGTTTCCTTGCACATGGCTCTATAGGCAGGGCATTTTTACTCCATGGACTCGTAACAGGTTGTCAATGTAGAATGGTACTTTACTTGAATCAAGTTGTTTTGTGAGTCTGTATTGTGTGTGTGTGTGTGTGTGTATGATTATACATATATAGATGTATGCATGTGGGTCTAACAATTAACATACATCTAATGGCAGCTCAGACATCCTATCTTCTCCTTTTCTTTTCAATGCTACTTTATATGATGTAGGACAGCTTATGTTATGTGTATGGTGGTTTGGGATTTCCAGGTTAATTCTAGGCTTATATCTAACACTTGTATTTCTGAGTTTTTCTTTGGTAAAAAAATTTAAAATGCTTTTGTTGGGTTTTTTGGGGGAATCTGCTTCTCTAAATACCTCAAAAAATTTTCTTAAACAATTTTTTCTGATGTTGAATTTGATTGTACAATCCCCATTATGGTGACTTTATGTGCATCTTTACTCTATTTTTTAAGATTTCATTTATTCATAAATGTGGAATTAAGACTATATTTTTATAGTTCACTTTCTATGGAACTTTCTTTATCTGAGTTTTACTTTCATTTCCTTTGGTAATTGGGCTTTGCTAATGATACAATTTTTTTTCTTTTTCAAAGTTAAACTTAATCATATTAAGCTTAACTGCTATCTTGCAAGGATGTCTTGTATATTGCTTTATATAATTGTGTTGTCTCTGTTTTTTCTCAGGAGACCCATTCTTACTGGTGATAACTGGTGGCGGGGTCATGCAGCAGCCTTCTTAAAATTCATTAACTTATCCCCAGAAGTACTTCGACGAGGTCGTGTTTGTCAGGTAAGCCTATGTTATTGGTATTGACCTAGGCTAGTTGACAGGCATGGAAGGAGTTCTTTTTTCTACTTCATTTTTTCCACTAGAAGAAAATTTCTGTAATATATCTAGCATAGGTTATTTTCTCCTCTAACTCCTTGCTGATTCTTTGTATTCTAGAAAAGATGTGAAGCTGCGTACTTCATTGTGGTTTTACATCATATCAGATCTGTAGTGATAGCTGTACGAGGAACTGAGACTCCAGAAGATCTCATAACTGATGGTTTAGGCAAGGAATCTCCACTGTCTTTCAAAGATTTGGATGGGATAATAAAGTCTCTCTCTCTCTCTCTCTCTCTTGATTTTCTTTATTATTTCTGTAACTTGTTGAAATGAAGCTGTTCATGCATGTTGTATTCCTTTCACCTTTGTGCTATCAATGTCTGAGATGTTGCATAAAGTTTTCACATAGCTTGCATGATCAGGAAAAAAGGAAAGTTGTAGCACTACTTTGCAAGCTAGTTTTCACATATTTATTTATGGAGTATCATGGTACAATGTTTTATTAGAATAATAAACAAGCATGCATAGTCTATGTTTCTTAATTTATTTTTAGGGAAATGACATATAAACTTTGGTTTATATATTTCCTCTTAACAAATTGACAGGTTTAAAGCATATATGTTAATATGAATAACCTGATTTTTATGATGTTGAATGAATATTCATGGTTCTCATGAAAGAAAATTTTCCTCAGCAAGTATAAGGGATTTCTGTGTTTGACAATGAAGACTTCTTAGTCCAATTATAAAATATTATGACGAGGTATTTTATTACCTTATGTTCAAGTTTCCCTATTTTAAGTTACAATTCAGGCTTTATACGGTATGGTTTACAGATATCTCTAAATGGAGTGTCCATTAGTGCTTATGTTTGACTTGTTTGCAGTAGCAATCATATAAACCCTGAAATTAGGCACCATGTGGAGTCATCCTTTCCACACTATGGCCACTCTGGTGTAATTGAGGCTGCAAGAGATCTTTATGAGCAAGTTGAAGGAAATTCTGAACATGGTAAGGAGATTTTATATTTTTTGTAACTTAATTGTTTGTGTTTTAATGAGGTATGCTTGTCATAATTTAATTTTCATGTTCCTTTTGTTTGTAAAATAAAAGGAGCTCAGACAATCTTAGTAAATTTATTTGGGAAACTTGGTGGGGTTCAAACCTCTCCTTTGTTTTCTCTTTAGAGGGCTATGATGTAAAATTATTAAACATCAAAGGAATTACCAAGGATATAAAAAATTTGTTTTTCCCTGGGTTACATAACTCCTGATTATGAGATATGTACTGATATTGCAGATTCTGAATCAATCGGCTTCCTATCTTCCTTGCTGGGTGCTGGTTGTGAGTGTGAAGGTTATGATGTCTGCATAGTAGGGCATTCTCTTGGAGGTGCAATTGCTGCATTGCTAGGATTAAGAGTATGGTTTCTCTAATGCCTTTTGGTTTGATAGATTATCCATTTTTATTTGATTGATATCCTTCTAATGATATTCCGAATAACAATAGGAGTAGCATTCAACACATATAACAAGGACATTTTTCTGATTAATTAAAAACTCTTATCCCAATGAAAAGGGAATAACACATTCATTTTATCTTAATTCTGTTTGGTATTTGATCTGTGCAGCTATACAGCAAACTTCCAAATTTACATGTCTATTCTTTTGGACCCCTTCCTTGTGTGGATTCAGTTGTAGCAGATGCGTGTTCACAATTTGTAACAAGGTAATTTTAAAACAAAATATTCAACATAGCTAGAATTTTTTCTTTATCCGTTTTATCTAAGTACTTGAGCTTTCTGCAGCATTATACACGACAATGAGTTTTCTGCCCGCCTTTCAGTTGGATCCATAATGCGACTTCGTGCTGATTTAATCACAGCAATCTCAGAAGACACTAAAACAGATAGAACCTTGATTTTCAAACTTGCACAGCGATTTTTTTATGTTAGCCAAACCCAGCCAACTCAAACAACTAATCTTAGAATAGAGAATTCAGCAGAACGTCATTTTGAAAGTAGCAATAATGAAGATTTAGGTCATGACTCCCATAGAGGTCAGTATGAGAATAACACTGTATCTGATAGATGCTATTGGAGGTCTTTGGCCTTTGCTCTTTCTAACATTTAGACATCCTTTGCAGGGGGGCCGGGGAGAGATCAAGAATTTTCACTTTGGAACAGGATTGGTAGCAGAGAAAATGATATCAAAATTGATGATGATGATTGTACTAATCCATTTGCATCTCATCATGCAAATCAAAAAGATGATCCAGTGTCTCAGTTCATGGACATTGTCCCTAATTCTGAAAATCAACCAATATCAGATCCTCATGAGATGTTCTTACCAGGTCTTGTGATCCACTTGGTACCAGAAAGAAGGAACTTCGGCATGTTATCTTGCCAAGGCAAGCAGAGTTATAAAGCTTTTATAGTAGACAGAGAATGCTTCAAAGATATGGTAGTTTCAACATCAATGTTCCTTGATCATCTTCCTTGGAGGTATGACTGCCATTTGCTTCCATGTCTATTTTCCTTTAGAGCTTTTAATCCCTTTATAAATGGGTCTGGAAGAGTTACAGTTTTAATCTTTCTTCAGATGTCACCAAGCCATGAAAAAGGTTTTGGAAGCTCGAAACTCAGAAGCTTTAGATGATGTATCCCAAATGGCTTGACTTATACTGCTACTTAAGCTTCCCTACTTAGGTGATGGGTTCTTCTTCATCTTCATATATGAAATACGTGTATACTTTTTTTTTCATTGCTATCCAATCTAAAGATATTCCAAAATGAATAACTCTTCCATGCATCAACACTCCAATAAAAGGGAATTTTTTTTTTTTTTAGGAATAACTAAAAGTAAAATTTTATTTAATAAGCAAAGGCCATATGGTATTTTTTTTAATTAATCTTTTGTTATTCAATAATCATATTATATTTTGATTAATCCGAAATCGAATCGTATTGGATTTCATAAAGAGAAAATTCTCTTTATGTTTATTTTTTTTTCATGAAATTTGAACTTAAAACATTGTTTAAAGGGAACCGAATGCTATTCATTTAAACTAATATGTCGGTAACATGTAATATGATATTTGCACGGATGTTTGGCAATGCTTAAATAGGATTTGCTTTAAAAGCAGATTCTTCCGTCATAAATTTGAAATTTTGTTGAATGAAAATTAAAAAATTAGTTTTTAAAATAATTTTTAAGTAAATTTTAAAAAAAATTTAGATATGTAATCTTTCTAAATTTACTTTAAATCACTTTTAAAAGTTAAGTTTTCTAGTCTCTTTAATAAAATTTTAAATTTGTAAAAGGAAAAAGAATTTATTTTTAAAGAAAATGCTTTGTAAGTTTTGCTAAATACTCTTAAGGAATGCCTTAACGCATGGACGACGTTTTAC